ATCGGGCCGCCTGGTCAGTGAATGCTGAATATTTCTTTTTAAGAAAACGGCTAGTATTACCATTATTACAATTACCAATTCGTCAACTAAAAAAATCTGCATGTGCATCTCTTTGTAATGGTTACTAGAATTTAATGACTCGTCGAAAAGATTTAAGCTCACACATCTCATTAAATGTGTAACTTAATATTGAAGGAAAATGTTAAGCAATACAATTAATCTGTTATCTATTTTTGGTATATATACATTTTTTTTTACCATATTCTTCTCAAAGAGTACGTACACTATATTGGACAGGGAAACGTTTGAGAACCACTGCATTTACAGATGTAACTTTCATGTTTCCTGCAAATATGTGAAATAATGTTGTAAATGTATCTTGAATATTATTTATTTATATTTTTTATCGACAGATTGACAAAAATGGTTTTGTTGGCTACTATTTTAAATCATTTGTGTTTCATTGAAGATGTTTGTGTCTCCAGAGAGAAGGTTTTAGATTTCATAATTGCTTTAAACGAGTTACTGTGACCAATTAGGCTGGATCAATCCCATTCACTGTAGAGACCCTATCATTATGATAAAGTGCCATGGTGACAGCTGTTGATGAGAAGATAAAAATTAAGATGGGGTCTGAAGAAAGTAGACCAAATAAAGACAATTTCAACACCTTTAAAAGTTTATTCTTTAACTCGACATATCTCTCTCAAGTATTTGTTAATGCTTTTTAAACATTGCTTCCATTTCTTTCTTCTTTTTTTTTTCATTCATTCAACAACCATATAAAATCTCATCTATCCTGTTGTTTTTCGGTTCATTCGTTCTTCAATTTCTTTCTTTCTCTTTCTTTATGCATCTTACATTTACATTTCTTTCTCTATTTTGATTAGTTCTTTATTTTCTTTCTCTATTAATTCAGTTTCCCTATTTCTCTTTCGTCATGACTTCTACATCTTTCTTTCTTTCTTCACTTTCTTCATACTTTCTACATTTTTATGTTTCTTTCTCGATTTGGATTAGTTCAACATTTATTTTCTTTCTTTCGTCAATTTCCCTATTTCTCTTTCGTCATGCCTTCTACACTTGTTCTTTCTTTCTTTCATTTTCTAATGTTCATTCATTCATTCATCCATTCATTTCTTTCTTTCTATCTTTCATTCGTTTCCTTATGTTCATTTTTTTTTTCTCCTCCCATTCTTCAGTTGTTCTATTTCTCTTTCCTTCTTTCTTGCTTACTTTCTTTCTTTCTTTCTTTCTTCTATTGCTGTCTAGCCGTTTCTCTTCTTTTTATTTTTATGATTTCCTTTATCCCCTTTCTCTTTCTTTCTTTAAATTTTGTTTGATTGATTAATAAATTTTTGAGAAAAAAATCTTCCACGGGGGAAAAAATCATGTGTGGACATATCTAATTTTGCGTTTACACGTGTACAAAAGCTAATATATGATATATAACTTAACACATACTCTCTCTCTCTCTCTCTCTCTCTCTCTCTCTCTCTCTCTCTCTCTCATTTGAGTGTTCTTTTATCTTTATAATTTTTTATCGGTTCTTTTCTTTCTAAAAAAAAAAAAACAACTTCATCTCATTTTCTCTATTTTCTATTCCTGCTCATTTTTCTACCTTTTTTTTTTTTTTTTTTCTTTATTTAAATTTTCCCTTCTTTATTTGTTGACAATTTAAATCTCGTTCAATTGTTTCATTGTTTTCCATTTACGCATTCCTTGATTTACTCAAAACCACACTTTCTCCTCGCCCACCTTACAAACTTCTCCACCTCTTTCCTAAAACGGTTTTTAGTAAAACCTTTCCTCCCCCTTCTTACACTTTCCTTAACGTAACCACGTAATCTGTTCCCGCTAATTTCTCCCCGACTTCTCAATTTAACAACTGTTTTTACTTCTTTTTTCTTTCCATTTCCTTGATTTTTTTTTAAAATTTAAATTTGTTCGTTTTTCCTTCTCGCCCCTCCTTAACACTGCAATGACAGATGCGGTTGCTTATTTGTTCGTTAAACTCCCTGCATGGAGAAGGATAAAGTACCCCCACCCCCTTGGCAGGATACGACACGGGGATAGGGAAAAGAGCGGAGAAATGAGTTGATCTGTTGGTTGTTTAGTCGAGACTGGCGGATGGACGGTGGGGTTTGTCACTAAACGTTGACGATCGGGAGAAAGAGGAAGTGGTGTGCGGTGCATTAGTAAAGAGGTAATTGAATGAATTGCACGCGATGTATCATGATGGCTGAGTGGTGACAGAGGTTAAAGTGGGGGGTGGGGTGACGTGGTGATTTTCAATGAATGAACGCAAGATGAATGAAACTCTTTCAATGAGAGTATATAAACAGGATGAGTAAGGATTAATCATTACATTTGTATACCTGCACAAGTGTGGGGCACCCAGTGTGGAACGAAATCACGATGCAAGCTTACTAACCATTGTCCTAGGCACGCTTTACCAAAAAAAAAAGGTGTATGCGTTGCAAATCGTCTTTTTTTCCGTGTCACGTCAGGACGTAAGCGATCATAGCTATCCACAACTTCCTATCCCATGTAGCTAGAAGCAATGCTTGATATTCATATGCTCCCTGTTCACGTTCTGACATCCATTTACATTCAGTGTGTTACTCACTGTTTTCTTCTGTCCCCTTTGCCTTCAGTATGTCCTGCCTGTGAGTGTCAAATTCTACAAGCCCCTTTTCCTCATTGTGTGTCCCAGAAATTGAAACTTTTTTTTTGTCCTAAATTGTGTCCTCATTTTCTTTAAAACTTCTATGTTCCATCCATGGCATTCTTATCATACTTCTATAGAACCAGATTTCCATTCCCTCTAGTTTCCTTTTCATCTGTGATTAAATTGCCCAGCCGTCACTGCCATATAGAAGAACTGATATTACATAGCAGTTGATCAATGATACCTTTGTCTCCAACAAAATGTTCTTGTTTTTTCATATTTTGCTTAGCATTTCAACGTGACTGGATTTCTGCGCCACATTGTAGAATGTTTGTTATAACACTTCCTATTTTGACGGCCCCAATTTGTAGCTTGCATTTTGGGCTGTCCCTTTTACTAATGGTCATACATTCTGTCTTCTTACTATTGATTGTTAGTACTTGTTTTCTTTGACTACCTTTTCTAGAAGTAACCTGCAGTTTTCTTTCTCAGTCTGCCGACAATACAGTGTCATCTTACTAGGATATCTTTTTTTTTTTTTTTTTTTAAGCATTGTGCCCCAAGCAAGGCGTGAAGCCACTAGGATGCAGGGGGGTGCGGAAGATTTGGAGCGAGAGCAGATAAGAGTGATAGGAGAAAGGAAGAGGAGAAGGATAGTGGGTAGATCAAGGTAATTGGAGATGTCGATTGACATTACATTTGAATAGTTGGAGATTATAGCTTTCAGGGAAACAGTAATTGGGGAGGGTGTTCCACTGGCGAGATGTGCGAGGTATGAAGCTATTGGAGTAGAAGAGATGGCTACATTTGAAGGTTTCTACGGTGTAAGGGTGGGGAGCGGGATGCCAGCCTCGTAGGGCGCTTGAATTCATGGAGTCTGGGAACCAGAGAGAGCAGCTCATCAGAGCAGTTACCATGGAAGTATTTGTGAAAAAGACAGAGAGAGGCGACGGCGCGTCTGTGAGAGAGTGACTGCAGACAAGACGCTAGATCAAGGCCAATTGGATTACATATCCGTCTCTGGATCTTGTCAAGAACTCCGAGGTAAGCAGAAGGTGCTCCAGCCCATATATGGCAGCAATACTCCATGCAAGGGCGAATGGTTGTTTTGTATATTTGAAGTATCGATTCAGGGGAGAAAAATTTCCTGGCGCGGCACAGAGAGCCAACTTTCCTCGCGTTGGAAGAATATATACATATATTACTCTGGTATTTACTAAGCTTAGGTAAGACTGTCACAGCGTCCCAAATATAGAGCAAACTAGGAGAATCAAATTGACTACACTAGTAAACTAGTTTGTGAAATAAATATGTTAATCATTATGCTCTGGTCAGTCCCCACTCTCTCTCTTTCTGTGTGTGTGTATATATATATATATATATATATATATATATATATATATATATGCATGCTCCTGGGAAATCTAGTTGAGCTGTTTTTAAAATTACTTTTTTCTCAAAAGGGTTTTTTTTTTTTAAAATGGCTCATGCTGCTATTAACAAATTGCTCTTCAAATGAAATGATCTCTCCGGGCTACTGTCATATTTTGTTAAAACTTCATGAAAATGTTAAAATTTCCATTTCTTTGCCATGTGATGATACCCTAGGGGTAGGATCTCTGACTGATGCCAGATTGGTTGGGTTTCAATCCCAGCTTGAAGCAGTCGTACGTCTAGCCTCACTGAAGAGCTGTGATACAGTGAAACAGTCTGTCTGTGGATATATATATATATATATATATATATATATATATATATATATATATATAAATAAATATCTATTATTATTATTATTATTATTAATATATATGTATATTTAGCAGGTACATGTGTTTGGGTAGACATCTAGTTTTTAAAAACAGTGAAATTAATATCAACCAGCTCAGAGATTAAGAATCTAGGTCAGCGTAATCCATCATAACTAAAAAAAAAAAAAAAGGCTCAAATATTCTATTTTTTAAATATGTCCATTTCTTATGTCCATTTCTTGTTAGGACATTTCAAAGTCTATATATACTAACTTTATTTTTGTAACAGAAACTTAAATTATTTTTAAGCAATTAAGGGATTTTTGAAAAATAATATTATTTCCCATTACAATAAACATTTTAGGAATATACATATTTAAGTAGACATCTGCTTTGTTTTTTGTTTTTTTTCTTTTATTGTAAACAGTAAAATAAATGTCTGCTGGCCTCAAAATTGAAAGTCTTAGTAATGAAATCAGGAAATCAAAGCTGTATTCCATTTTTCAACCAGGGAAACATCTTAAGATTTACAAAGCAATGTTGAAAAGTTTTAATGAATTACTGAGTAATTATAAATTTGTATGTATCTGGAATTACTTCTGTTTCTCTTTCTTTTCTTTTTCTTTAAATTCTTTTTCTCCTGTCTTATCTTTTACTTCTTCCAATTTTCTCTTTTCTTCTTCTTCTTTATCTAAGTCTATTTATGACTTTTTTTTCTTCTCTTTTCACCTATTTAAATAGAGTGATCGATTTGAATATTGAAAGAAAAGCCAAAGAAAAAAAAAGAACAGGAAAGAGCAATGGCGTGAAAAGAAAACAAGATTAAGAATAAAAAGAAAATTTTTGTAAAAGAAAAAACATTTTACATCACTTGATTATTTTTCCTTCATTTCTTTTTTTACTCATTTTTCCAACTCATTTTTTTTTCTTTTAAACATTTTTATTCCCTAAAACATTTTTTTCTTTTTTAACTAGTGAATTATTCTTCACTTCTTTTTTCTATTTCATTTACGCTCAACTCTTCTGTTCTTTTCCTTTCTCCTCCCTCTATTCTTTGTTTTTCATGTTTTTTTTTTGTAAAATTCCTCAAAATTTACTATTTATTTTTTATATCTTTTTTTAACTTCTCAAGCATTAAAACATTCTTTCTTTTTTCACTTTTTTTTTTTACTTAACTATATTTTTCTTTATATTCACTTTCAGCCCCTATTAAACCATCTCGCTTCCTCACAACACACCCTCAAAATCCAGACCCATTAACTCTATATCCCTCACTTTTTTTCCCTCCTAACCCCACATTCTGTCTCCTCTTTCTCAATCCACCTTCCAACCTCTTTCCACATCAGCTCCTATCTATGAGGATGAAGCTGGCTGGCGCCAATCATGGTATCATCTGTTGCAATGGCACCCAAAGTCACATAAGTGCAAGGAAAAAGTTTCTTTGTTCTCTTTTGGTTTCATTCAAGAATTTCAGTTAAACACATTGAGCCATACTACCAGCCTGCTCTACCCTTACTCTCCTTATTGTCTGCTTGCCTTGCTCTCCATTTTATTAGTCTTTTTTTTGTTTTTGTTTTTTCTCCCTCATTACTTGTAACTTGAATATATATAAAGTGAATACTGAGACACCCTTATGGGAATACATACGGACATACATATATGTAGAAATGTTCACAGACACTTTTCGATTTTCTTTCTGAATTCACTTCATTTATTCATCATCACATTCAAAATAACGTTAATAAAAAAGGACAATAAACTATTGATGAAAAAAGTGTTAAGAAGTTAAAAATGGAAATCTACAGAAACCTTTTGAGGTTAGATCAAATGAAGAGACTATTATTGAAATTCAAGAAAATTTGGTAATTAGAATTGTGATACTAAACTGAGAATAAAGGATAAAATGACTACAAAAACAGGTTGTAAAATTCAGAAAATTGAGGAATGGAACAAATGAACAAATGATGAACAAATGACAGGCTTTAAAACATTGTCTAATTCCTCTTTTATTCTGACTTATATTTTGTCTCATTGTTTATCTCTTCCCTTATTTACATTCCATTGTACTCTCTTTTCATTCTTTCTTAACTACATCTTTTTTTCCATTCACTAATATCCTGTCTCTCTCTCTCTCCATTCTTTTTAAGTACATTTTTAATTCCCTTCAACACACTTCATTCTTTCTGAACTGCAATTATCATTCCTTCCTGCACCAACTTCATTCTTTCTCAGCCACATTTTTTATTCCCGCCTATTCAGTCTTCATTCTTTCTCGGCCACATTTTTTATTCCCTCCTATTCAGTTTCATTCTTTCTCGGCCACATTTTTTATTCCTCCTATTCAGTCTTCATTCTTTCTTTTTCATTCCCTCCTACAAAGGCTTCATTCTTCTCAGTCAATTTTTTATTCCCTCCTCATTCTTTTCTCGGCTTTTTCCCCTCCTACAAAGGCTTCATTCTTTTCATTTTTTTATTCCTCCTATTCAGTCTTCATTCTTTCTCGGCCGTTTTTCATTCCCTCCCTATTTCATTCTTCATTCTTTTTTATTCCCTCCTATTCAGTCTTCATTCTTTCTCAGTCACATTTTTTATTCCCTCCTATTCAGTCTTCATTCTTTCTCAGTCACATTTTTTATTCCCTCCTATTCAGTCTTCATTCTTTCTCGGCCACGTTTTTCATTCCCTCCTACAAAGGCTTCATTCTTTCTCAGTTTTTTTTATTCCCTCCTATTCAGTCTTCATTCCTTTCTCAGTCACATTTTATTCCCCTATTCAGTCTTCATTCTTTCTTTCGGCCACGTTTTTTCATTCCCTCTCCTACAAAGTTTTCTTTCTCAGTCACATTTTTATTCCTCCTATTCAGTCTTCATTCTTTCTCAGCCACGTTTTTTCATTTTCATTCCTCCTTTTTTATTCCTCCTATTCAGTCTTCATTCTTTCCTATTCAGTCTTCATTTCTTTTTTTTTTTCCTCCTATTCAGTCTTCATTCTTTCTCACCATTCCCTTCTCATTCTTTCTCAGTCACATTTTTTATTCCCTCCTATTCAGTCTTCATTCTTTCTCGGCCACGTTTTTCATTCCCTCCTACAAAGGCTTCATTCTTTCTCAGTCACATTTTTTATTCCCTCCTATTCAGTCTTCATTCTTTCTCGGCCACGTTTTTCATTCCCTCCTATTTTCTTTCTCAGTCCATTTTTTTATTCCTCCTATTCAGTCTTCATTCTTTCTCATGCGGCATTCCCTCCTACAAAGGCTTTTTTCTCAGTCACATTTTTTTATTCCTCCTATTCAGTCTTCATTCCTTTTCTCTTCATTCTTTCTCAGTCACATTTTTTTATTCCTCCTATTCAGTCTTCCCTTTTTCTCGGCCACGTTTTTCATTCCCTCCTACAAAGGCTTCATTCTTTCACATTTTTTTATTCCTCCTATTCAGTCTTCATTCTTTCTCATTTTTTTATTCCCTCCTATTCAGTCTTCATTCTTTCTCAGTCACATTTTTTATTCCCTCCTATTCAGTCTTCATTCTTTCTCGGCCACGTTTTTCATTCCCTCCTACAAAGGCTTCATTCTTTCTCAGTCACATTTTTTATTCCCTCCTATTCAGTCTTCATTCTTTCATTCTTTTTCTCAGTCACATTCAGTTTTTTTTCGGCCGTTTTTCATTCCCTCCTACAAAGGCTTCATTCTTTCTCAGTCACATTTTTATTCAGTCTTCCTTTCTCGGCCACGTTTTCATTCCCTCCTTTCATTCTTTCTCCCTCCTATTCAGTCTTCATTCTTTCTTTCCTATTCAGTCTTCATTCTTTCTCAGTCATTTTTTTATTCCTATTCAGTCTTTTTTTCATTCCTTTCATTCTTTCTCAGTCATTTTTATTCCTCCTTTCAGTCTTCATTCTTTTTTTCATTCCCTTACAAAGGCTTCATTCTTTCAGTCACATTTTTTTCCTCCTATTCAGTCTTCATTTTTCTCGGCCACGTTTTTTCATTCCCTCCTACAAAGGCTTCATTCTTTCTCAGTCATTTTTTATTCCTCCTATTCACTGAGAATTCTTTCTCATTCACATTTTTTATTCCCTCCTATTCAGTCTTCATTCTTTCTCAGTTTTTTATTCCCTCCTATTCAGTCTTCATTTTTTTCTCGGCCACGTTTTTCATTCCCTCCTACAAAGGCTTTCATTCTTTTCTCAGTTCCTTCATTCTTTCTCGGCCGTTTTTTTCATTCCCTCCTACAAAGGCTTCATTCTTTCTCAGTCACATTTTTTATTCCCTATTCAGTCTTCTTTTTCTCATTCTATTCCATTTTTCTCAGTTTTTTATTCCTCCTATTCAGTCTTTTCTTTCTCATCCTTTTTCCCTCCTACAAAGGCATTCTTTTTTTTTTTATTCCCTCCTTTCAGTCTTCATTTTTTCCCATTCCCTTATTCTTTCTCAGTCATTTCCCTCCTATTCAGTCTTCATTCTTTCTCATACGTTTTCATTCCCTCCTTGAAAGGCTTCATTCTTTCTCAGTCACATTTTTTATTCCCTTTTCAGTCTTCCTTTCTCAGTCCCTCCTATTCAGTCTTTAAATTTTTTATTCCCTCCTATTCATTTTTCTTTCTCGCATTCCATTCATTCTTTCTCAGTCACATTTTTATTCCTCCTATTCAGATTCTTTCCCCCACGTTTTTCCCCTCCTATTCTTTCCTCATTTTTAAATTTTTCATTTCATTCTTTCTCTTTTTTTCATTCCCTCCTTTCATTCTTTCTCAACCTCCTATTCAAAAATTGGCATTCTTTCTCAGTCACAATTCCCTCCTATTCAGTCTTCATTCTTTCTCATTTTTTCATTCCCTCCTACAAAGGCTTCATTCTTTCTCAGTCACATTTTTTATTCCCTCCTATTCAGTCTTCATTCTTTCTCGGCCACGTTTTTCATTCCCTCCTACAAAGGCTTCATTCTTTCTCATTTTTTTTGATATTCAGTCTTCTTCTTTGGAACTTCTTTCTCAGATTTTTTTTCCCATTCAGGTAATGATTCTTTCTCAGTCACATTTTTTTTCCCTCCTATTCAGTCTTCATTCTTTCTCAACCACTTTTTTATTCCCTCCTACTCAGTCTCCTTTCTCGGCCTTTTTCATTCCCTCCTAGCTTAGCCACGTTTTTCATGCCCTCCTACTCAGTTTCATTCTTTCTGAGTCACATTTTTGTTTCCTCCTAATTCTTATTCACCATTTTTTTCATTTTCCTACAGTCTTCATTCTTTCTCGGCCATTTCTTCATTCTTTCTCGTTCCATTTTTCAGTCCTTCCTGCTCAGTCTTCATTCTTTCTCGCCACGTTTTTCATTCCCCCTACTTTCTTTCAATGATTTTCATTCTTTCTTAGGTTTTTCATTCCCTCCAAGGCATCTTGTCAATTCCCTCCTACTCAGTCTTCTTTCTTTCTGAGTCACATTTTTTGTTTCCTCCTACTTCCTCTTCATTCTTATTCACCATATTTTTCATTTTCTCCTACTTTGTCTTTATTTATTGTCTTTTTCATCAAATTTTTTCATATTTTTTCTCATTATTATTTCTTTCCTTTTTTTGCCAACCACAAAATTTTATCTAATTCTTTTTCTGTTCCCTTATTTTAATCCCCACTTTCTCTATCCTCATTCCTTTTTTACTACATTCTTTTTCATTCCCCTTTCTTCTTTATTCATTCTTTCTTCCTTTTATATCATTGTCTTTTTCTTCAAAGTTTTTCCCTTTTCCTTACTTCTGCTTATTCTTTCTGCTCTATGTTGACTTCACTTTTCCTTTTTACCCTCTTCCTCATTCTTAAATTAACATTTTTCTTGCACCATTGTTTCTTGATCCCCCACCCATCTTTGTGTCTTTTATTCTTCTTTCTTTTCCTTTTTTCAACAAAAATTGGCATGTCATAAAATCAACCACCTTAACCATTTCCCTTTTGCTTATTGACTATTATTATTATTTTTTGATATCTTCTCTGGAACTCAGATGTTTTAAGGTAAAAGTTTCTGATGACGTCTCCAAGGCATCTTGCAAGGCAGAAAGAACCTAGGAAATAGTCCCAATTGTGCCAACCACAAAAGAGACATCTTGATCTACAGTTGAATATTTCAACCTGCAAGGTTTTTACTTCCTTTTCACCTAATTCACCTTGATGATGTTTTATCCCAAAACAACTATGGTTGTATTTTAAATTTTAATAAAGAAATATTTTTCTCATTTTTAATTTGAAATTTAGATTATCCAGGGCACATTTTAAATTTTATGATTTGACTTAGACATGGAAGCCATATTCTTAGTGTCTCTAGTTTTTTAAAAATAAAGAATCTTTAAATATAAACATAATTCATAAATTACTCTTCTGGTAATTTGGGGAACATTTGGCTACCTTTCAGGGTACATTAGTGTGCCTGGGTACACTGGTCGAAAAACATTGGGTGAGACAATTCACTTCCTGACCATGAGATTTTGGTTTCATCATGGTTGATTTATCAGGAATATAATTTCTTCATAATATTGGACTGGAGAGGCAATCCCACCATATGGCACCTTTGGAAAATGTGTGAAAACACTACAAAGGATTGACCCAAACCTTGTGAGTGGAATTTGATAGACGGAATTATTCGTTGATGGTAGTGCTTGCATGAAGCCACTAGTCATTGTGACCAATTGGTCTTGTTCCAACATATTCAGATGATGCACTCTCTCCCAGAAACTATAATTAAGGTCCACAGAGCATAGTTGCAGTATAAACCATGGGTGGGCCCTGTGGATGTTTAGCAAACACAAATGTGTCTGAGCAGGCGTTTGTAACAGGGATTGGTTAGCCGCCTTAGCAGTCATATTTGGAAATGAGTGGCCAGTCATTATTTAAAGAAGGAAGAGGTTACATATGAAGATTCAAAGTTGACAAGGGTTTTCATTTCACCGAAGCAGACATTAAATGTAGGAATCATTACTAATTCCTCTATGTTCCTTTTGTTGTTTTTCTTGCTAAAACCAAACAGTATCTCTGATATGTCTTTTCCATCTTTGTTCACAATCAAAACGGAATAGTCAATTATTTGTTTGAAGTAATAACAGGGTGTAATATACATGCCTACAAACTAAGGAACAAACAATATTATAATTCAGTATGTGGCAGAAATACCTCTCACATAATGGTTAAGACATTAGTGGTAATATTGTCTTCATCTATCTAATGTCTTGCTATTATGTGGGAGATATTTCTGTTAATCACTGTATAATTATTATCAGTTCCTCTTCTTTTTCTCATATTATCTTTTTCTCCTTTTTCATGCATGTGGTGAACAGTCCCACAGGAGCAGGCAAGCCAGAATGGCTTGCATCTGGTGCATAGGAAAATAAGGGTCTTACCTCAATGTGTGGCATGTGGCATCAGCTATTTTGCTCCTTAAAAATGGCATTATTCTCCTGTTTAGCCATTTCAGCAGTATGTGTGGTAACAAGGGTTTTTGTACAGTTTGGCATGCTTCAACCAATAGCAAGTCATGTGCTGATTGGTTAAACTGAAGGAGGCTATTTACCTGGGTAACTGAGAAAAAAAGTGAAGAATGCTGATTGGTTGGTCAACCACAGTGTTGGCCTGCTAAAAGAGGGCTGAAATAGTGACAATGAGAGAAAAAGATAGATTTATGTTTTGAATTGTGGAAAGCAGGAATGGTGGATTGTACCAGCGGTATCTTGAATTGTACGAGCAACGTCCGAGTAATAGAGACTCATTTAAGCTACAATGCATCCTTTTTTTTCTTGAATTTATTCTCTTACCTTTTCTCTTTCCCTTACTATAGCTCTCTTTTGAATAACTTTCTTTTGAAATGTTTTGTCTTGCTAAATATTCTTAGCACTTTACAAATTAATTAGCAATAAAATAGCAACTGGGAAGTAGACAACAATTATCAACAAATCCCCAAATAACACGAAAATAAAAAACAAACAGAAACAAAGCAAGTTGCTTTTGCACATCCACATACTATCACTACTATCTTGACACATCAATAAGACTGCAGCTTAAGGATGAAAATAATAGTTATGTTAAACAACAAATGTTTTTCAACATAGTTTTCTTCTCTGTTAATGCACTTAACCCAATTCTTTTCTATAGATCATATATATTGAATATTATATAGTCAACATTTCAGATCAAAATTCAGTTAATAATCATGTGTCAACAAAAGTACTGATCCACCATATAATATGCATGTGTGCAAAGACACACATACATACATGACAGTGGTTGCCAACTTGTGTCCGAGTATGGCCATCACTACATATCTTTTTGGAGAATATCTACTGATGTGCTGAACGAATGTGGTTCTTTAGCCCAGCAAAGGACCTACATACTCTGGCACAAACAGGGCACTTAAGAGGTCCAACAGCAGATGGTACATTATCAAGCAATTTAAAATGTCACATGAAACTGACTCTGGACCTGCATGTCTTACCACAAATATCAATTTCAGTTGTTGGACATCTTCAGCTTTATAGTCAATTGCCACCCTCCGTTGGCATGCTCTCAAATGACTACTTTGAACAGCCATTGACAAACATGGTCTGTACACATCAGATTGAGCTGCCTGTGGGTGTCTTCAAGAGGTTCAACGGAGACGCCTTTATGCACATCTCTTTTAAGCCTTGCGTGCCCCCTCTACTCCTCCTCAGTGTGACACCTTCCACTCTGAGCAGCCTTTCAACTATTGTGATCAGATGCATATTCTTCCCAGTGCTCACAAAAATATTGCATTTCTTCAGCGCAAACTTGATGCAGTCCTTAAAGCGCATCTTAGGTTTAACAGCATTTCTCTTCCCTGTTCACAGCTCACCATAAAACAATTGCTTTGGAATACAGCTGTCATTCATTCTCATGAGGTGGTCCACCCAACGAAGTTGATGTTTTAGTATCAATAACTCAATACTATCACAGCCACACCTCTCTACATACATACATACACTTTCTTGATATAGGAAAATCAATAGCCACACAGCCTAATGTTTAAAAAATTATTTATTAATAAATATCTGTTTTACAACATAAACTCTTTCTTTGTCAATGCACTTTATTTAATGGTGAATTAATCATATAGATCCAATATTTTTGTCTAAATTTTAAAGTGAGGAGTTATTATTTACATTCATACTAAAGTCTGCAATTTTGTTACTGTTCTTTTTTTTTAACCATTTCATCTAAAGCAAGGCAATAATGCCACTAAGACACAGTGAGTTTCAGGGGGTGAAAGAGAATGAGAAGACTTTAGTGAGGAGAAGTGAGCACAGGACAATAAAGAAACAGGATGCAGGAAGACATAAAATAACGATTGATGTTACATTTAAATTTTTTAAGTTTGTACATGGCAGGGAAGCAAGAAATTGGAAGGGAGTTCCACAGGTGAGAAGTGCTAGAAAGGAAACTGTTAGAATAGAAGTGGCAGTTGCATCTAACTAGTTTGACAATAAAACAGTGAGACCTAGTTGTTACTCTGGTAGCACGCTTAAATACATGCAGTTGAATCATTAGGGAAAAAAAGCTCATTTGAAGAAATACCATAAAAATATTTGTAGAGAAAACAGAGGGAAGTCACATATCATATTTTTAATCATTGTGCTCTCAGCCCTTCTTTAGGTGTCTCCTGATCCGGATAAACTTTAAGGAATTTTCAACTGAACTCTTTATTGAATCTACAAGGGTCATATAGTTTGTATTCTGTTGTCTATGTCTAGGAATACCTCAACTTATTATTTTGTATTACTCCCTTATTATTTGTCTTGTTTCCCACTGTGCTTGAAACTGTACTACCCAGGCCAGGGATTGAACTCATAGATTCAGTAAACCAATAACTTAGCAGTTTTAAAAAGAACAAGATAAGATAACCCTAGACTTGGAAAGTAAAATGAAAGCAATCAGTTTTCAGAGATTAAATAAAGGATTCTGTTCAAAATTCCATAAAGGTTACCTGAATCAACAGACATGTGAAGAAGGCTGGAGAATGCAACAGCCAAAATATTATGAACATGGCAACAAAGATGAGGATATTAGCCTGTCTGCAGATAATGTAGATTCTTAAAGTCGTCGTGGATATTTTATTTATTAATCTGACAGATATTATCACTTTAAATATTATTTTTAGCAGATACCAGATATTCACTTCATCGCTTTTAAGTGATAAAAATCTGTCAAATTAATAATTTAAAAAATCCATTACTTCTTTAGAAATTGCTTTGTTTACATTTCAGATCTGAAACTGATCCATTATGAACTTTCAGGGATCTAAAATGAGAAGGATGTGCTTAAAAGGCAGTATGCAGCCTTGCTTAATCAGTGACACCCTTCATGGCTGAGTCAGTTAAAAGCACACTGGATAAAATGATGGTTTCTCCTGCAAAGGTTGACACAGGTTCGAAACCTCCTGGAGAGCACACATGGCTTTAATAAGACATTTCAAATATTCAGACTGGTAGATGAAAATAAATATACTGTTTAAAATAATTAGAGTGTCTACTCAAATATGGTTATGCACTAAAAATAACATTTGTAGTGATAAAAATAATGACAATCCAATGTTATACACTAAGAATTTCAGACCAAAATTTAACTCATAAGTATGTATCAGGTTATTCAGGTTACATACAAGAAGAATGATCAGAGTCTGGCTTGCCAAACTCTGATCATTCTTCTTGTATGTATTGTGTTGCCTTAAGATGTGAGTGATCATGGCTCTCCACAACTTCCTGTCGTTTGTAGGTTTAAATAAGAT